AACTTTTTCGGGGGTTAAGACTCCAACGAACTTTATAACGTCAACGTTTGTGTCTTGCTCTCTTAGCATGAGGGTTTACTTTAAATAGTGTGCAAGCGTCATAATCGCAGAGACGTAGACAAAATGCAGTTTAAATTTCTTAGACTATTTTAAGACCTCTAACGTTTATATTTATAGTATAGTATCAAGAGAATAGTCAAGAAATTATAAATGTCTTGATGGTATAAATGTTTTTACACACTTTATAACGTAAAAAAAAACAAAACAAAAAAAAACGATGTAGTGCCAGATGGTACTTGGCAAGAGTAAAATAAGTTTTTACATTGAGTCAACAGTTGCCAGGTTATCGTAACGAAGAACAAGAGAAGAAGAAAGCACCAGATCTACTTTTGTTAACCATCCCAATTCATGAACAAAGGAAAACAATCATATTCACTTCAACAGAAAAAATAAGCCTTAGCTATGATATACGAAGGAACTTCTGAACAAACGTGTGTTCAATACTACGTTGATTTCTCAAAGCCTTAGCAAACGTTCGTGTCTCATTTTACCATAAGGATGAACAGTAGGACATTTAATAAGGCGTATCGTTTCATCGATGTGGGGATGCATTTTAAATGGCACATTGTAAATTCGGCTGTAAAGAAAAAAAAAAACATTAGACCCGCCTCGATTAGCATTTGCCAAATGAAAAATAAAGGTGTGAAAAGTGTGAAAGTGTGGCACTGTCAGCACTTGATGTTTCAAGGCAGTTTTGGTTTCTGCGATTCAAACAGTGTTGTGTTGTTTGAGAGTCAAACAATTACACGTATTTTGCAAAGAACGCCATCTTTTATTCTTTCCCAGAATCCTTTGTACATAAATAATTCATGTAAGCTAACATAACATCTCCCCCTTTTTGATAAAGAGCACAAAGTCTGAAGCAAATCGACAGAGTCTGATAAGTCATGGACACAGCCTAAATCAGCTCTCTCAGCTCAGTGTCTTATGATGCTAAACCTTGATTTTCTCTGACTTTGAGAGATGGTCTTATAACTCGCTTAGGCCTAGTAGCAAGAATAGGTGTTACTGGGGGTACTTGAAAGTCTCTCTTAGAAACAGGAACGTCCTTCCGAATAGGTGTTGCAGCCTTGCTCTCTGCTGGAACTTGTTTCTCCTCTGGGTTTGGTTGTGATTTTCCTGCTGATCTGGCAGTGGGGTTAGGTAAAACGGTTTCTTTTGATCGTGCTGGTTGATGTCTCAATTTCATATGACAGGGGTCTTGCTGCTGCTTCGATGACTTTTCCTGAACGCTGAAGGTCCTTCACAAAGACTAGCTTCCGTACCTGGTTCAATAGGACTAGCTTATGCCTGCTGTTGAACACTGTTTGTTGCTTCAGCTCGCTCATGCTCGCTCTTTCACGTAGGTTTTCCAGATCAGGTCACTGCGGGTTAAGCTGGGTATGGAACACCGGAACACCGGAACACCGGAACACCGGAACACCGGAACACCGGAACACCGGAACACCGGAACACCGGAACACCGGAACACCGGAACACCGTTCCTTATCTGCCTTCCCATCAGCAACTGGGCAGGAGAGAACTTGCATGCTAGTGGCGTTAATCTGTAGGCCAGTAATCCTTTAGCTGGGTCTCTTTCTTTCGAGAGCAGATTTTTCACGTTTCTAACTCCACGTTCAACCTCTCCGTTTGACGGTAGAAATCTCGGACTACTGGTTGTATGCTTGAATCCCCACTCTTTGGCAAAGTATGAGAATTCTACATTGTCAAATTGAGGATCATTGTCGGATCGCACTTGTTCGAGGATGCCATGTCTGGTAAGTATCGACTTAGGTGCTTTTGTGACCTCGCTTGACTTTATCGTCTTCTTCATGGCTGCTACTTCTATGTACCTTGAGAAGTAGTCTATTACAATCAGGTAGTCGATGCCTTTCAGCTCGAAGAGGTCTGTGGCTACGACTTGCCAGGGGCGGTCTGGTAAGGGTGTTACTATAAGCGGTTCGGGTTTGTTTTCCTTACCTTACATTGTTGATCCAGATCCTGGATTTCTTTACTAAGTCTGAGACAGGCCACGATGTGAACACGCTTTATATGTGTGCGTACATTTCATCATCAATTGTAGACTGAGCTGTTTGGTTTCTGGCTTAGAGTCTTGAAAGTGTATCAGCTATGTACATCTTCTTTCCAGGAACGTGTTTGATCTCTTTAAAGTGGAATCTCATCGGTCGCATTCTGAATCGCTGGATCCTCGGTGGGAGTTGATCCAGTGTGTGCCCACTCAGTAGTGCTACGAAGGGTTTATGGTCCGCTTCCGCAGAGATCGACTCCCCCACGATGTACTTCCACGATCGTTCACATACCTATGTGAGCGCTGAGGCCTCCTTTTCTATCTGCGCCTATCTGGTCTCGGTGGGAGTCATCGCTCTCGACGTGAACGGAAACTGGTCGCCAGGAGTTGTCTGGTTAGGGCTGAAGAAATGCTCCGCCTAAGCCATAGGATTCGGCATCAACTGCTATCTTGATCATATGGCGCCAGTACTAAAACTCATGTGAGGTTAGCTTTGATCTGCTCAAATGCCTTTTGTTGCTCAGTTCCCCATGTCCACTGATTCCCTTTGCAAAGGAGATCCCTGATGCTCTTTGTCTTGTCAGCAAGATGCTCAGAAAACTTGCTCAATTGGTTTACCATGCCCAGAAATGTTCTCTATGATTCTTGCACGTTCTGTGGTGGCGGAAGATCTGCAATTGCTTGCAGCTTGTGAAGATCCGCCTCAATTCCACGGGAGCTGATGACGTGCCCGAGGAACTTAACTCTGCCTGTTCAGCACAGACAAAGTTAAGTTTCTCGGGCACGTTATCAGCTCCCTTGGAATTGTTTAAAAAAATTATTAAAAAGTTATTGAAAAAAAAAATCAATCAACGCTCGAAAAAAATTAATCAACGCACCAGTCTCTGGTCGTCCGCCTGAACTGACTAAATGAAGTTTAGTCAGCGGAGTTTGTCAGCAGATGACATTGTCATCGCTGGTATATCGCTGAACGACCTCGCTGAACAAGAAAGGCCGCCTTCCCTTCGTTATGTAAGTAACCATTTCTTGTTTGACACATCAGTGCGACTTGCAGTCAGCTTACATGAATAGATTCTGCGACATTGACCACTGTAAGGATAACGGTCTTGTTCGCCATCATAAGGGACTCTTGCGTTCTTCTTTGATTCAGGCAGCTAGTTCTTCTCAGCCATCTTCTCTAAGGCTATAATTCCTCACTTCAATTTTCTTTTGAGGCAGCCTATCTCTCCCAGCAGCCTTTTTGGACTGCTGCTTTGAAGGTCTACGCTGAACTTCTGTTCGCCTTCCTATTAGGGCGAACTAATCACGCTCGGGAGAGTCCCGCGCTGGAATATGATCAGGGTCTTGATCCCTTGTGGCTTTAAGACGCTGAGGAGAGCTGGGGCGAACTCTCCCAGGAGTTGGACTACGGAAACTTTCTTCTTCGTCCAAAATCTTCCAAATTTCCTTGTAATGACGCTTGGCCCCTTCCAAAGATGACGTAAACAGTGGTTGATCGTAAACTGGCGAAGACGCCCACTGATTGGCTGGTGGAAGAGTCACACGACTATCTACCGGAGCGCTGTCTTTTTTATTCGTATCACGAGATACTTCATGTTGTGATTCCAATAGCACTAGTACTTTTCCATCTGCACAAAACATAAGTGACTGCATAAGACAAGCACATATCTTGACTTAAACTTTTTTACGAGAGAGTGCAAGCACATAACGAAGCTTGGAGAAGAGAGGATAAGGTAAATTTATGTTGGGTCATTCAATAGTTCTTTTGTGTTCAGTGTGGTACAAAAAAAGTCTGTATCGTCCATAAGGATTCGACTCCCTCACACGAGGCTTCCCTACATCGGATGCTCAACCTCTAAGCTATTAGGAATAGGGTTGATACCAGGCCTCATTTCAGCTTGATATCCTTTTAGCATGGTACTTAAATGAACCCCTACAATAATTCGTTTTTACATATTATTTACTATTAAGAATAAAGTGCATAAAGAAAGAAAGAGAATATCCTTTCACAATCACACAACATCGATAAAAAAAAAAAAAAAATTACACCCACCATCATTAGAATTAATTGAACTTGAGGCATCTAACCAATTACTTTTTAGGTCAATTACCGTAAGCTGAATAAATTTCTCGGAAACTGAAAAAGGAAAAATATATAGAGACTGTCGCTAAACACCCGCGCGAAAGAGGATCGAAGTTTATATGAAAGAGGCGTCTTTCTGAGGTAAGACTACTATATTCAAAATAACTTTTTTTGTAAAAGTCAGTGTGAATGTAAGGAATACCAACGTTAAAGACTGGTTTAAAGAATATTAGTTTGCTTTAATAACATATGAATATCATTTAAATCGTTACGCATAAGTAGAAGATACGAATTTTTGCAATAACAGTAATTTTGTCCAAACCAACTTAAAATCCAAGCTGAGTTGCTACTTTGGCGCTTCGTTTCCAATTACATTAAAAACTTGAGGGGCAATTTTTTTCACGATTTCAAAACCACCAGTACTAAACCTTCGAAAGCGCTCACGAGATGAATAAGGAAGTCGTGTAATTGAAAACACGCAAAAAGACTCGGTCCGGCGAAAGAGGAGTTAAACCTGTAGCACGCGGTTTTCGTAGGCGACCAGTTGCCGACCCGATGCTTCCATGGCCAAATACATACATCTGAAACATCTTAGTCCAAAGAGCCATATGGAACATGGAATACCGTCTGAGTTTTTACCCGCGTTAATCTTGACAGACAATCTACAAATATTCTTAGACTGTAAAGTACCAACAATCCTCGCCGTATTTTCTTATGTGTTGAGCAGGAAAATGCAGTGTCAAGGTTAAATTAGAATTTTTTATTTTGTGTGAACTATCGGAAAAAGTCTTAGATAGACCTTTTATGTAAGATTCGAAGCCAAAACGAAAGTATTAAATACATACTTAATGCTGAGGTAGATGTATAAAATGTAGCTATGCTTATGCGCTCTGCGCAGCGTTGTTTACTTTTCAACCAGCAAAAATGCCTCCCGCTTCCGATTCATGAATCATACTCATATTTCAGTCCAGATTTTGACATCAATCACTACATATAATACGTTTTGAGAATTTCCTTTAAAATTTATGAGCTAAAGCCGCTTTCGTTTCAAATAATTTTAAGTCACGAAACCAGTTAATTATTGGTGGCAAAAATATTGGCCACTTTCCATTTTTTACTGGTAATAATTTTAAAAGTTGAATATAATTAAATTAAAATTGCCAGTGTGTTTTGTTTGGGGCTTCTCAAAGCAATGAAACCGTAGCAGAGTGAATTTTGAGCAGAGCAATTTCGTTTGTTAAACGGATTTCCATAAAGCTCTGCTTCATGCGCAGAGAGTGATTGTAAGTTTGAAATTATAATTAACAGTTTTTTTCCATAGCGAATCATCTCAAAATGTCAATTTTATTTACGCATTCATTTGAATTTTAAGGTGATTAGATAAATAACACCTTATGAAGTTAAACTACTGCGTCACTAGCCGTTAAGCATAGCTTCCGCAATGCTCCGAGCTATGCAAGTTAACATCAATAACCCAATCCTAAATTGAACAAAGCGATATTTCCAAAATTACCGACGTGTGAAGCTTCATTACTACAATTTCAAAGGCGAAACATTCAAAAGAAACTTTATAGGTTCTCTTCAGAATGAGCGATGAAGTCTAAGCCTATATTTTAAAAAGTTCAAGATGACTTGATGGGAACTCTAAAAACGTAGTGAGAAATTCAGTTGGAAGGTGATATATTTTTATCGCTTCACTTGCGAGAGGCAAACATACTTTCGTTATAACTAACAGAGAGACGGAAGCGGAGGCACGGAGGTTCTTGAAAACTTGTGATCTATTTAACAGTTCTACAGTGTAAATAGACAAATGTCGATACAATATTCTTTCAGCAAATTTGTTTAGTGGGAAACACTCTTTTTTGGCAGCACGAAATAACTTGAACCATAAAGCAGTTAGCTTTTCATCGAAATATCGTGGTGATAGACAAGTTTTCGTGAATACACAGGCGGGAAATGCTCGCACGTCAAATGTTTTATGTTTTGGTAGCATTACCCTGGCAACAGATGGTAACAGAGTTACAAACTTCATCAAGAATACATATTATAGAGACATCTAGAAAACGCATTTAAGAATGACGCAAGTGTCCATCTCCGCCGGCAAAAAGCCATCAATCAACTTTTGCGCGCACAATTTTTTTTTTCGTGGAAAATTCTAAGCGGCTGCCCTTAACAACATCATCAAACATTTACAAAATATTTGATATAAAGCTGAAAGAAAGGTGCCCAAAGAAAAGGGATAACTTGATACTGTAAATTCGGTCAATGTTTCATGGACACAATAATTGTTAATGTAAATCGGCCACCGTGGAGAATTTACGGAGCCGACGTTTCAAGCGTTAGCCCTTCGTCAGAGCGACATTAATCGGAAGTTTAGTTAAGCATCAAAATCGCATCGATAAGAAAAAAATTAAAGTGCTCTGTGAGCAAACTCGTGAATTGACAGATGACCTACATGATTTTTTGGATTATGTTTAAGGAAAGCAAGGAAAAAAAACACCTACTTTTGTACTTGGACTGTTTTTTCGGTGGAAAAAAAGCCCACAAAATAGATTGAGTTGTAACAGGGGGTGAACTTGTCAAATAAAACTAAATCGTATCGACCATGTCTGGTTCTCGTGAATTTGCACGCATTCAAGACTACGCTTAAAATGAAATGTCGTTGAGTCTAGGAGCAGTAATGGGAAATGGAAAAAAAAGGAATGACGAGTAGGGTATGATGGGAAATTGCGAATGGGACAATGAGACGTAGGAAATGAGAAATGGAAAGTAGGAAATGAGAGACGGAAAAGGAAAATATAGAAGAAGCCAAAATTGATAACTAGGAAAACTAAGAATTGTATGGTGAATAATAAGAAGAATTAATAATGAGATTTTGGGAGTGACAGGGTTAGCGTTAATGTTTTAAATACCGATAAGGGTGCCTCGATGATAAAATGATTAAAAAACGCTATGCTTTCTGTGTATTGCATTGTATTGTTACTTGTGCGGGGTTAACTAAAAAATTTTTCTTTCTCTCTCATTATCAATGCACAGGTTACCGTCAAAATGTGTTTGTTCTTACGACTCCTTCTAATTGTTTTTATAAGCACTCAGCTCTTAAAAGAAGCAGTAACAACAACAAACACAAAAGTGACAAAATCAACAGCAGTCACGGCTTTTACAAACACATCACAAACAACAAAATCAGAAATGGAAATAGGTACAAATGTAGCACAAACAAGCCTTCCCTCCGTGAACGAAATCACTTCAACTCAACCAAAGTCACCATCTTCAGGATTTTTACAGATACCATCGTCTTCCCAGTCGGGAAAAACAGCACAATTGGTATCTACGACATTACATACAACAACAATAACCCAGAGATTTTCTGCTCCGTCAAGTTTGCAAATCTCCACTGAAAACCGAACCATACCGACGAGAACGGCGACAGAAATGAACACCACGTCAAGTGTAAACACAGCAACAACCGCTTTCCCACATATACATAACACTCTCATCTCGTCTTCAAGGAGCTGCAAGTCCCGGCCAGAGAGTGTTTCCCAGTCGACACCCTCTGCAGATCTCAATGCAACACAAAGTAAAGCGTCAAGCTACATAACTGGTGTTCCAAACCCAACGCTGTCTATCAATTCAAGTTACGCAACGTCACTAATGATCTTCCCAAGCTCAAACGCCACCACAACTAAAGCCGTACATTTTACAAGCGATCATTCGACGAGAGAGTCTTCTTCTCCTCTGGTCGCTCCTCTAACTACAGCACAGACAAGCTCTCCCTCCGTGAAAGATATAACCACAACTCAACAAAACGCACAATCTTCAGTCGTATTACATATACCATCGTCTTTCCAGTCGGGAAAAACAACACATTCGGCATCTCCAACAATAAATGCAACAAAAGCAGGCCAAAGATTTTCTCCTTCGTCAGGTTTTCAAATCTCCAGTAACAACCAAACCACAATGAACACAACGTCAAGTGTAGACGCAGGAACAAACGCCGTCTCACACGCACAAAACACTCTCATCTCGTTTTCAATGAGCCGCAAGTCCCGGCTAAAGAGTGTTTTACAGTCGACGCCCTTCGCAGATCTCAATGCAACACGACGTAAAGCTTCAGGCTACACAACTGGTGATCTTAACCGGACGCTGTCTCTCCATTCAAGTTACGCAATGTCGCCTATGACATTCACAAAGTCAGGCGCCGCCACAACTCAAGCCGTGTATTTCACAAGCGATCATACGATGAAAGAGAGTTCCCCACTTCTGGTCGCTCCTTCAACTACAGCATCAAAAAGCTCTACTTCCGTGAACGGTACCACCACAACTCAACAAAAGTCATCATCTTCAGGAGTATTACAGATACCATCGTCTT